CACGAGAAGTGCAAAAACGCATAATCGCACCGGCCCGCCTGGTGCGTTCCAGCCTGGGTTTTTTATATCAGTTGGCAGATTTATTTCAAAGGCTCTCAAGCTCAGCCTTGTCTGCTCCAAATTGCGTTTTGCTCTTATTTATCAGCGTACTGTGATTATAACTTTTGCGATATTTTGGCTGGATTAGCACCTACATGAACCAGCAGCGCAATAAAAAAATCACTGCAACTGTTATGTACGTACATGTATTTTGAAGCGGCGAAAATCATCACCTACTTTGTTTTCGGATTGCAGCGTCCATGGATACACTTAGCACCACACAAATCACAAGCTGGGCCCTCACAAACGGAACAGTCGTCGCCCACAAATCCTCGAAAGCATTCACAGAGTTGAGGCCGTATACAAGAACCCGAACCGGAGCAATTATTCAACTGATCGCAAAGGGCCTGTGAGCAAAACGGCCCTGTCCAGCCGGTTTCACAGACGCACTTGCCGCCGGTACAGGAGCCGTGATTGTTGCATCCGGTCAGTGAACAATTGGTGACTTGACCACTGCAGTCAGCACCTACAGTAGTTTAGAATTGCGCCTGATATTTATTGTACGCAGACGAACAATCCGCTACACATATCCCTTGGTCTGCTGGTGTGAAATAAAGATATTGATGATGATATACAAAATAAAAAAAAATACGCAGACATTTATATCAAAAATAAATAATCAAATGGAGAGGATGTTTCGGTCCATTAAATAGTACACATTCCTATTCAGCACCACAGCTGGACCTCGTCAGCACGACGATTGCGGTGCTAATAACTTAATAATATTGGTTAAGTATAGTATGAGGGAGTTATGCGAATATAAATACGTAGTGGGATAATACAAATTAAAAAAAGTGATAGATGAAGTAAACTTTCGATGCAGCCAAGCCGAGCTGCCTGCTTCAGGGCCTTGTTCAACAATCTTTACCCCAATTCATTTATTCGAAAGTCAAAGCGAAAGTTCTTTTTCTAACAAGTACCAGCAGTGGTACGCGTAGTCCTACACCCCTCAGCACAGGAGAATTACGCTGTTGTTTTCTCTTCAGTTGCAAGTTTCATATTCGTTTTTTGTTCTATGCGCCTTCATGCTCTGTCATGCAAACTAGGCACGTAAGCTGCTGCAGACTTCGTTGTTTTACGGCAAGGATTTTTTTTTTTGAAAAACTTTTTAGTAAACGATTTTCTTTAGATTTTCGTTCATAAATTTTTTTACAGAAATTTCGCCTCATTTCCG